TAACTTATTTCAGTTCTGGGCTCCTGTGGAATTTTGCTTATATTCGTTAACGGTAACGATCCTAGCACCACTGCTATCTGACAAAGGGGTGCATTACTATCTGTTATGAAGATGCCCTGCAAAATGCACATTGTCATGCTAATGTTGTAACACCTAAGAAGACTGAGACTCAGGAAGGACTTGGGAAAGTCACACAGGCAGTGAGGCACAAAACCAGTTCACAAAGATGAATCTTTGTGACCATCGTTCCTGCTTTCCTCATCCCTGTTTGCTGCCTCCACGTGTCAAGCTGTGCCCAGCATCACCGCGTGGCTGTTTGTGACCACATTGGTCTCCACCTGTCATTTTAGCGATGCCTTCCCAGCCTTACGAAGCTGCTGAGCTGACCAGTGGCTTTGCTCTTCTCGCCATCCTGCAGCCACTCCCAGTTCACTCCCCCACCCCTTCCTACTGACTCCACCACATCCCCACTCCGTCTCCAGATCCCACTTAACCCTCCTTGACTTTATCTTTCCCACAGTGGTTACGCCTTTTAACATACAAAAAGAACTTGGTGTGGAGACTGGGCAGAAGAGTGACCAGTCTGAGTGGATAAAGTAGTTCTGAAATAGAACTTAGCTTCTTAGAACACTGTTCAGCTCTGAGTTTGAAGATGTGTATGTTTTTATGCTTCCTCTTGATATTATTTTTGTCCTTTTTGTTTAATGCGATACTGATTCTTTTGCCCCCACCTTCTGTGCATTTAATGGCTGTATTATTCATTACGGGTAGTTACAGCATTTTCATAATTAATCTTTAATTGCAACACTTGCGTAGCATTCCACATGAAAAATGATATACAAATTAAACCCACATCTCACCTTGGATAATTATCAGAGGTTTGACTAATGTGCATGAAGCCCTGGCATGGCAGGGGGCTCTCTGCAATGACAATGTGTTGATTTCCTAATTAACAAAGGTTAAGTAGCATTTTTACTTGGAGACCTATAATTTCAACTTATGACATTTGCCACAAAGAAAGATTTCCACAAAGCAATAAGTTAAACTCAGTTTTCATGGTTTCAGCACATTAACATCTTTTGCATAATATATAATGACCATTTTCAGCATAAAATATTTTTCTTCCTCTTGACTCATCAAGAAAGCTACGTTCAACTCACTGGCCCATTTAAATAAATGAGGGGGCCGCCTAAGTAAGAAAAAAAATATCAATTTTATTTAGTCTTTCTTTCGTAGTGAGAAATGGTAATTCCATTATAAATTAACACGTAGTGAAAAAATATTTAATTTAATAAATGCAACAAATGAAAATGAGACTTAGTCATATTTTGTGATCAGTTCCAAAGAAGAGGAAAATGCCAACAATTCAGAAAAGGAAAAAAACAAAGGAGTTTAGGAGAAAGAATTATTTACTGAAAGATAGGGAGTCACATAAACATAAAGGGAAGTGTTGAAAATCATGAGCTGGAGAAATTTAGAGCTGGGGGACCCCGAGACATCATCCAGTTCAGCCCCTGTTTCTGTGGTTGGGAAAACTGATGCTGAGAGACATCAAGCAATTTGATAAAACCCAAGGACCCACCAAAGGCAGTCAGCATCCCTGAATGGAACAGACACAGCTGGAGAATCTCAAAACACCCAGGACCCAGGGCAGGAGCAGACAGCAGGGAATCCTGCCCCTGCACCCCTTCTTCAGTGAGCCCTGTGTCCATAAGTCACCCAGTATGCACTTATATACCTACATTTTTTGTCTTAATGACGTAAAAAAGATGCAATCTAATATAGATTTGCTCTGCTAATTGGCCCTTTTTAAATCTCCATTCTTGACCATGTTAACATTTACTTAGCTTTTTTTAAATCTCTGAAGCTTCTCAGTCATTGCTGAGGATCCATTAAATACAAATTATTCCCAGAGTAAAATATGTCCTAAAGAGAGTAAAGGTTCAAATGCTGAGAGAAATAAAATCTCAAAAGTATTAGAAGAAAACAGAGTTAAATAATTATGTTGATTTAGATTGGAGAAGGTCTCTAGAAGCCCAATATTAAAGGCAGAAACCACAGAAATAAGACACATGGACGTACCACATCAGTAACCACAGCCTTCATAGAGGAAAAGAAAAGCCCCCATACAAGTTAAAAGACACAAGCTGCAAGAATATAATCACAAAATGCAAAGCAAAGAGTCAAAGCACAAAATACTGTTTTCAATCAATAAGAAATATATCTTCTATCCCCCCCCAAAAAAATTAAAGAACATAAAGAAACAATACGATATAAAAAGGAAAATATAGGAAGTATTCCATTCTCAGTATGTGAAGAAATACCTATTAAATAGTAAGCTGCTTTTCCCCACTCAATTGAATTGTCAAATCCATGAGGATTAGAATTGGTGGGAAGGTAGACACCTTGGACCTACTGGCGAAATACTAATTGGTAAATTCTTCTCGAGGAAAATAGATTCAAAATGCCTTTTAAAATGTGTGTTCAGGCCGGGGATGCCACACTGTGGTAGAGCGCTTGTCTATGGAGCACGAGGCCTGTGTTCCCCGCAGTAGCTCACACACATAGAAAAGTGTGTCTTCAGACCCAGCGGACACACCTGGAAGTATAATCCACTAACACCAAGGGACAAAATCTAAGGAAAAACAGGACAAGTACACCAACATTTTTGCAAAGATCATATTGTGGCAACCCCCTGTAAAATGGAAATTGGGAAAAGCTAAAAAGCCCGACGGTAATGTGAGAGCAGATTAAGCGACCGCCCCCTCCACAGAGAGATGCTGAGCCCATGATAGACACCGAGTTCTGGATGTCCACAGGTCACTTGGAAAATGTCCTGTGATACGCTAAGTGCAAAAAGCAAGTTTGAGAGCCATAGGGCTATTATGATCCCATTGCTTCCTTTATGTCATTCTTTGCACATCTATGTGTTCATAGATAAAGTTGGAAAGGGCTGTTCCCTAAAAGTAGTTGCATCTGAGGAACCTTACAGTTCTCTTTTGTGTTTTGCTTATCAGTATGTTTACAGTTCCCACAATGAAATACTATTAATTACATTGATAATGAGACCAAAGGTGAAGGGGATAGCTAAGAATCAGTGACTTAGAAATTTCCACATATTTTGATAGGACATCATCGTGCTAATGGACTAGTGACGAAAATTCAAACAGCTATGCATTTATGTAATAAAGGCACTTTGGAAAACCCTATTGCAAGAACAAAAACCATAGTGACTAAAATGATGGGAGCCAAAATGAAATTCTAACACACAAAGAGTGGCTAATGGGTTGAAATTCTTCCAAATCAGGCAAGGCCCCAATTCTCCTCAGCACAGAGGTATGGAGCTGGGCTGACGAGCAGATGGCGAAGTGGGAAGCCCTTCAAAGCCACTGCTTTTAATAACTTCTTTTGCCCTCTGCTACCCACCAGCTTTGATCACAAAGGGCATTGGACTCCCTTCAATTAATCTTTTATTCAAATATTTTATGAAAATAAAATGTTCCCTGGAGAATCATTCAAAATGATGCACTTCCCAACAGAGAAACACGAGGCTTGGGTTTAAATAGACAGTGGAAGGATTTCTTCACCATCTTATGGATGAGGATTCACAGACATAAGCAGAGCTGACCTGTCTCGAGTCTACTGGGATGCTCTTCTTCTCGGGACAGTAGTCCAGGTGACCAGAATCAACCCCAGCCTAACTTCTTACCCAGACTCTAGCAACCCAGTCGACAGCTCCATTGGGAAGAACATTCAAATCTCCATCTTCCTCTCTACTGATTGGTCATCATAATTAAGAACATAGGCTCCAGGATAAGACAGATCTGATACAGCCTTGCCTCCAGGGCACCCTGAGTCCTGGAGTATACTCCTTGACTTCTCTACGCCTCAGTTTCCTTGCTGTACATGAGGTCAATGACGACAATACCTACCTTGGCAGGTTGTTGTGAAGATCAGGTAAAACACCTTAAGGTGCTAGGTCGATTCCTTCTGCACAGCTTTTAATGAAAGAGTAAATTGAGTTTTATTTTTATGAACAAGCTCTCTTTTCTAAGGCCTCATCAGATATTTATTCCAATCATTTTACCAATTATTCATTTTGTATTTATTTCCGAAAAAGATGTTATTCTAAGATACAGATACATGTTTAAATTTGTATTCCTCCTTTTATACAAGCTGCTTTTTTAAAAAAAAAAAAAAAAAAAAAAAAAAAGACCATAACCAAGGATATTACAGACACAATTAAATCCACTTGGGACACATGTTTTAATGAATACTTCTATGAAATTTGTTTGGAAGATTTTAATATTTTTATGCAATGAACTTCAACCTAACTCTATTCACTTATTCCAAAACTCACAATTAACATGTTCTTTGTGGTACATGTCTTGCAAAGACATTTAGACTAAAGCAATGAAACCTAACCCAACTTAGTAATCAACGTGATTTCTATGTAAAATGATCAATTCCAACTCCCAACACCCCAGACAAGTCCTAGATACCCTTAATGTGAACCTCAAAGCAAAGCCTTTCATGAGACAAGAACCAAAACGTACAATCACCTTTCAAATGGATTTATGCCTTCTGACTAATTGGCTTGTTAACTATGCTAATATATTCATGTTTCTCTTCCTTTTTTATTTCTTTCAGTAGATAATGCTACAGAACTGAATGTCATGAGATTAAAGAGCAAAGAAACTAAAGATTTCTATAAACCTCTTTTCTATAGGAAACCAGATTACGCATTTTTGTGTACCTCCAAACATTTTATTTCTCTAGCAAATTTCTCACTTCTTAGAAGACAGACTCTTTTAATTAGGTATTATAGCCTAAAGGGAGAGCTTTAACTTTTTCTGTTTAGACAAGACCAACTTGAAAGTGACAATACCAGATGTACTTAGCAGTCTCGTCTTCTACCGCAATTGTTCGATCATAATGAATCAAGACAGAAACCAAGGCAGAGTTCTTCCGTGTGACCTCTTGCATTCTGTCATTCCCAGGTGGCGCTGGAGGCCAGCAAGGCTTCCTGGGCTGCATCCGCTCCTTGAGGATGAATGGAGTGACACTTGACCTTGAGGAAAGAGCCAAGGTCACATCTGGGTTCAAATCTGGGTGCTCTGGCCACTGCACCAGCTATGGGACCAACTGTGAGAATGGAGGCAAATGCATAGAAAAATATCATGGCTACTCCTGCGACTGCTCAAACACAGCCTATGACGGGACCTTTTGCAACAAAGGTAAGGCAGAACCAGCTCCAGACCCATTTTTAGACATATTTTTAAGTGCATATCATCTATTTAATGAATTCTTTCTTTTTTTTTTTTTTTTTGGCTGAAAATGAGTGCATTTTATTCTGAAGGTCAGGTGATTCTAATTCCTCTCCCACTTCAGGGAGGAAGTTCCTCAAATCATTCCCTGTAAACTGACTGAGGGATTGCCCTGTGTCAGCATCCCTGTGATTTAGCCTAGACTGAGATCACCCATCAGGGCATCCTCAGTAAGAGGATGATAATGAGAATGATAGCGACAGTGACTGGCCAAAGGAGCTCTCTTGTAGGTATAGCTTGAGTCCAGTCTTAGCAACTGGAGGGACAGTGAGCTGCATTAAGACCCCTGCGTGGCAAAGGAGCAAATCAGCAGCATCTCCGCCCACCGTGTTTTTCTAGTCTTAAACGAGTCTTTGAATCCCTGATAAATTGCTATGAGCAGAATACAAGGGCCCGAAGCATAAGCATGTATTCATTTGGAGTATTCCCTGTGATCCCACATAACCAGGAAAAAATCATTCAACTGGCCCGTGGCTTAATTTTTCATATGTAAATAAGTATGAAAAGGGGCGTGGCTGGCTCTTCTCCTAAGCTACAATAAAAATGCATGTCAATCGCTCTCCTCTCTCTAAAATGAACGTATAGCATTTGGGTAGAGTTTTGTGGAAGTGGTCTGTGCATCTCTTAATAGGAAGCTTCACATAAGCAGCCCATTCATACTCTCATCAACATATGGAGGTGGTACATGCCGGTATTATTCACCCACAAGGTGCCACATACAGAAGAAGGAATTGTTCCACAGCATTCGCTTCACTTCCAGGCTACTGCCTGTCAGGGCTAGAATATGAGCATGCAAATGAGATCAGACAGGGTTTAAAGAATGAGCATGAGGTGACAACAAAAAAAGGTGGAAAGGACACTGTGGCTGACTGATACCTTCACACGTTGACAGTGCTGCTACAGTGCATTCTTCTGCTCCAAACAACATGGTTCTGAGGTTTCCCTGTGGCATACAATGGAACAGGCTTGCAGAGCACATTAATTTTGCACTTGTAGAAATGACAGTTTTGCAATTACCATTCATTGTGCTTGATGCTAATTTAATGCAGTTGCTTCCCTTGCCAAAGTACCGTCTGAATGCAATCAAATAAGCAGGAAAGCCTGAGACATTCCACTACGAAAGTTACAATTTAAAGGAAATCACGACCCCCTTAATTTTGGAGAGTTAGGTTAAACACAGTAACTCACACAAAATCTCGGAGGGTTAATAAGCAAGATTCATGAATAAAAAAAAGCAGGGGCATATATACCTTTTAGTTTAGCTAACATACAAGATGAAGTCAAATGAAGCTTACGTGTTGCCTTTGACATTATTTTGAGGGGTTTACACAAAAGACATCTAAATAGTCTCTTCATATTTGTTCAGTAGGATGAATTACATTTGATTCAATTAGTGGCTTTTAACAAAAAAAAAATTTAAAAGTGCACAATACAGTTGGAAAGCATTTGTGAGCACCATTCCTAGTAGAAACAAGTAGAACAAGTCTTGGGGGGAAATGACAATGGTGCTGGTTTAGAAGAATCCTGTGGCCAAACGGGAGGGGGGCCCCATTTGTGAAAGTGGTCTGCACTGAGCAATCTTCTTCACACACCAGGAGAGGCCAAGAGTGTCTTCCTGCTGAGGCTCTAGCTGGTGCTTCTGCTCTGGGCCTCACCACCCAGGGCCAGATGCCTGCACGGAAACTCCTGTGACCACTACCACCAGATGCTGCAGCCAAACCCTCAACCTTTAAAAGAGGACCATACTCACTGGCTAAAGACTGAGCTGTCTGAGGTCCCTCCCTGTCCTCCTTTGATATAGGTCTGTGCTAAGAGGATACGGGAAGATGTTCAGTGTCTTGCTTAGTGAATGAAGTGGGTTCCAACCCACCACACACAACCCAGTTGCATGGTTGTATAAAATCAAAGTATGCATACACACACATGCATACACACCACCCCCCACACACACACACACAGTGACGAGGAAAACCGTGAGAGTACATGACCAAAATGCTAACTGGTTGTTTTTTGCAGAATGATGAAAATACTGGTATTTTTTTAAGTATGTTTTTGGCTTACCTATATCTTATAATCTTTTCAGAATGATACATCTAATTTCATTAATTTTTTTCTTCTTCTTGGGGGGAAAAAAAACAGTACTAGGAGGCAGAGTCATTTAAGGGTTAACTGTCTCTGGTCAGAAAACACCTGCCTATTAACTAAAAATTTCACATCCATCGGTACTCTCTGGAGTGGAGTACATGTCCAGTGAAGATTGCATGTAATTAAATTAGCTTGACAGTCCATATCTTGATGCATT